AAGGTCAAGGGTTGCCAGCGGCCACCAAAAGCCAGGAAAGAGACACAGACCAGATTCTTCCTCAGAGCCTCGCAGAAGGAAACAACCCTTCCCCACCTCGACTTCTGTCTCTGGCTTCTAGAACTGTAAGGAAAGAAAGTTCTGTCTTAGGACTCCCGGTTTCTGGTAATTTGTGACAGCAGATTCAGGAAAGTAACAACATGGACTGGCTCACATAGTCAAATCCTTGGTCCTTTTGCCCTGGGAGTCCTAGAATGCAATTTCCATCTCAGGGTGAAGGGAGGGTGTGAGTGAGAAAAATGGTCAGAGTTGGATCAGTAAGTGTCCACTGTGACTCATTTCAATGTCTGTGTGTCTGTCCACAGTCACGTGGACTTTAAGTAACATTAAGGCCCCCCACCACAGGTCTTGACAGATGACCTCGATTCGAATCCTGCACTTGGCCATTCCCTCTCTGTTTGACCTTGGCACGCAGCCGTCTCCCCTGGCCTCAGTTTCCCCACTTTGTATCGTGATGACTCTCAAGTTGCGAACAAGCTCCTGAAAGTGGTGGGCGGGTCCCCAGCTGCCGGGGGGCAGCCCGCACAAGGGCTGATGCAGCCTTGTCCCTTTTTCTTGAGAAAATGCAAAAAGCTGCTTTGGATTCTGCGGGAGCTTCATTTATTTACCACTGGGGAGATCTCAAGGGGGGGTGGCACAGATGCGGGGAGGGTGGCACCTGGGGCTCCTAGGACGGGAGGACATTTGGCCCTGAGTATCTGGCATCTCTGCGAAACCAAGGCTCTTCCAAGCCAGGGTGGAGGTGTGATTTTTTCGCAGTTGGCCCCACAGAGGAAGGTGGCCTCAGGGAGGTGGGGAACACCGGTCCTCCCAGACAGGGCTTTGTGGCGCTGTGTCTTCAGGAGCTCACCAGACCAGACCCCTCTGGGTCTCTGGATCCTCTGAGGCCACAGCCAGGGGGAGGGTTCAGTGAGGACAGAGGGTCAGCAGGTCCTGCTGGGTGCAGCCGCTGAGGCAGCAGTGGTGGGCAGGGTTGGTGGCCGCCGCCCGCCGGCGGTGGTGATGGCGAGAGGCCTGGGGCAGGGGCTGTGGAATGAGAACCAGCATGGGGTCCCCTTCAGCCACCAGCCCATGGAGATGTCGTCCTTCCAGCCACTGCAGCAGCTCACCTGGGGACAGAGCAGAATTTCAGCATGGGCAGGGGACCCTAGAGGACCCCTCCCCAATATGAGCACACACCTGCACGCTCACATCCTGCTGAGTGACCCACCGAATGCTCATCTTGTGCACAAGTAGAAAGTGAGCACCTATTAAATACCTACTGTCTACTGAGCACAGATATACTCCCCCATCCAGATGTGTGCACTCCCGACCCACACCCACGCTCAGGTCCCCTGCCGTGCACATTCCCACAAGCCACCTATCACGCAGACGCATAGACACTTTCCAAAGCCAAAGACAGCAGGGGTGACACGTGACATATACATGACATATACATATACATATACATGACATGTGACATCTGTGCAGGCAGTGGGCTCACATGGACACACACACCCACACAGGCACATACCCTCATGGCCCTTTCCAGCCCTCCCCCATGCACGCCTCTGCACATCCAGCTGCGCCTGTATCACAAAGATGCATGCATATAGGACACACACGTGTGACACGTGGGCATACGCATCCGTTTTATACCTTCAGCACCGGGGCGGGCGCAGGGTGAGAAGAGTGAGCACTGGCCCTCAACGCACAATGCAAGGGGGCGCCAAAAAACTCAACAATGAAGATCCGTCATATTTTAATGCAATATTTTTAAAAATCAAAAATTAATGCAAAACATAAATATTTACATTAAAAAATTACACAGAATTGGGGCGCCTGGGTGGCTCAGTTGGTTAAAGCGACTGCCTTCCGCTCAGGTCATGATCCCGGAGTCCCAGGATCGAGTCCCGCATCGGGCTCCCTGCTCAGCGGGGAGCCTGCTTCTCCCTCTGACCCTCCCCCCTCTCATGCTCTATCCCATTCTCTCTCTCAAATAAATAAATAAATAAAAATTAAAAAATTAAAAAATTAAAAAATTACACAGAATGTAAATCAGGCAGAATCTCACCGTGCACTTGCGAGACTGTCTCGGTCGCCACGCACTGATTTCCTGCCTGGCCGGGGACGCATCCTTCGCGCGCTTGCACACTCCAGCGCCGCGGGCAAGGGGCCCCCCGGCAGGTGCGTGCAAACCCAGCCGCCCGCCCCGACGCCCACCAGCGCCGCGCGCACCTGCCCCACCTAGAAACCCCAGAGCGCAGTCCCCGCCCGCCGCCACTCACGGTCGCCGCCAGCCACCCGCCGCCCGTCTTCGGAGGACCAGCGCGGGCCCCCGCACAACCGCACCAGCGCGCGCACGAAGTGGTGGCCACACAGCTTCTCCCGCGCTTCCGGAGCGGGCGCCGAGCCCAGAACGAGCGCCAGAGCCGGGCCCAGCAGCACCAGGGCCCAGGTGAGTGGGCGGGGGTCCATGGCGGCAGGACGGCCCCAGCGGGGACCCCTTCTTATAGGCATCCAGCCCGCCCCAGCTGAGGACCTTGGATGGGGACAGAGCATTCCGCGGAGGGCTCAGGGAGAAGGTCAAGGGTGGGGTGAGTACTGAGTGCAAGTGTAGTGTAAACCCCGCAGCTGGGTTTTCTCTTTCTCTCTCTCTCTTTTTTTAAGTAATCTCTAAGCCCCAGGTGGGGCTCGAACTCAGGACCCGAGATCATGACTTGCATGTTCCACCCACTGAGCCAGGCTTTTTTGTCGTGCCTGACTTAAGCTTTGATTGCCCAGGCATCCGCTTCAAAGACAGCTATCTGGAATAAACCTATTTGCCAGACACACCGCTTGATAAACAGCCGGCTCTCCGGCCCCCCCGCCCCCCAGGCTCCCTTGTTTGACAGCTCGTGGTTGCTTTTGAGAACTGGCCTTTGGGGTCACTTGTTTTTTCCTTTCTGGCGCTTTAAATTCCCGCTCCTATGTTTTAGTTTTACCATAAGCAATGAGCCCTGGGAACTCCACGCCCCCATCCTGGACCCCAGTAAAAGCAGAGGCCCAGCCAGGGAACCCCCCACCCCCTCACTGTGTGGCCCGCCCTGGGGGTGCTGTGGGAGCTCCAGGTCTTGTCGGTAAGAAACCTTTCCTTTTTTCAGTTTCCTGATGGGTGTTGCTGAAGGGCGTGCAACCACAGGGGCCAGTCCAACCAGACGCTGGATACTGACAGGCTGAGCCCTAACCATACAGACCCCCCGCCTCAATTCCTGTGTTTAAGCCCGACTCCCCATCGTGACGGTGTCGTGACGGTGTCTGTGGACGTTGGGGCTCTGGGAGATCAGCAGGTAGTGAAGGGGGGGGCTCGCAATGGGGTCAGTGCTCTCCTAAGAAGGGGGGGGTCAGAGAACGTGCCCCCACACCCCTCCCGCTCCACGTGAGCACCCGGCCAGAAGGCAGCCATGTGCAAGCCAGGAAGCCTCCTCACCAGACCCCGGCCCTGCCGGCACCCTGACTTTCCAGCCTCCAGATCTGCGAGAAACTCCGAGTCCTCGGTGGGAGGCCCTCCGCAGCCACACGCGGTGATTCGGGCCACCAGTGATTCGGGCCACCGCGGCCAGGGAAGGGAGCCGTGTGCTGACTAGCTCAGAACATTAAATTCCTGCTCTGCATCTGAAATCCACCAATAAAGAGTGAGCTGGGGAAACCCTAGGCCCGCACCCCTGGACCCCAATAAAAGCAGAGCCCCAAGCCCAAGTTGGCTCTCTGTTTCCACCAGTGACCTCAGTGGGTAACCCTAGGTCGGCTGTGTAACTCTGAGGTCTTATGAGTAATAAACCTTGACTTTTTTGAAGTTTCCTGATGGGTGGTGCCGAAGGGGATCTTGTAATCATAGTAAGAATCACAACGGTGGTTTTAACCTCAACACTGGTTATTGAGAGGCTGAGGGCGCCACAAAACAGTGAGGGTCTCTGCCTGGGCCAGGGCCTTGGGTGTGTCTCCCCCAGGGCGAGCACTGGCTGAGGAGTCTTTTTCACAACAACAACAACCATTTTAGAGAGGTGAACTAGATAAACTGAGAATGATTCCACAAGGTGGTGGTCGGGCAGCTGGCCATCTGAGACCAGGAGCAATCAGAATCTTGTTGTCCTTATTCCTGTATCAATAAGGAAACTGAGACTCAGAGAGGGGGTCACTGCGCTTGCCATGGTCACAGGAGGCTGGGGCTGTTGCCTGACTCTGTCTCTCCCCTATCAGGGTCTCCTTGGGCAGGGCAGGGACTGCAGGACCCAGAATGAAGCTGGCTGTGTTTGCTCACTGTTGACTTTGGTTTACCAAGGAGGGAAATGAGCAGAGAGAAGGGAGGATGCTCCATCCAAGGCAAGGGAGAGCCTGAGCTGAAAACCCTGTCTTGCTTGAGCTCAGAGCAGCCCCCTCCAGCTTTTCACCAAAGCAGGTGGCTTTCCCTGGGCTAAGAGAGTAGGCGAGAGAGAGGGAGATTGTCTCTCTCCTGCCCTCTCTGTCTCTCTGAGTCTGTCTCTCCTTCTCAATCTCTCTATCTCTCTCCGTCTCTTTCTCTCGGTTATTCCTCATATCTGCCCAGCAGTCCTGAGGGAGACTTGCTTGGTCCCCATTGATGTTGGACCCCTCCCCACAGCCTCCCACCCCAACCTTGCCCTCTGACCCCCCTCCCCGCCCCCCAGAGCAGCCTGTTCCTTCCACCCACCAAGAGCCTGTAATCAGTTCCTTAGGACAGAGCCAAGGCCAGCAGCTGGAGTTGGGGGTAGGGCTTCTGTCCTCTGGGACCCCAGCCAATGCCCCACCCTGCTGTCTCTCCTCCCCCCAGCCTGCCCTGAGGCCCCCATTGTGGCCCCCAGGGGATCTCCATCTCCCAGCCCTAACTACATTCCTCCCCAGCTTACACACCCCCCAAAATTCCCCATCACCCAAGTCCAGCAACACACCATTCTTTCCACCCAACTTTATTCATTAAACAAACGCTCCCAGAGTCCCCTTTGTACCTGTTCCATCCCAGCCCCCAGAGAGCCTCCAGGTCAGAGGAGAGGGATCTGGACAGAGACCCCAGTCCTGGGGTCAGAGGTAAGTACACGGCAGGTGAGGAGTGGCGGGAACATGCCAGGGAAGGCTGCAGGGAGGTGACAGCTGGGGTTTCGAGAGATAAATAAGAGTTTTCCAGGGGGCAAAAGTGATAGAAAAGACTGCAGGCAGGTGAGGAGTTGGGGGGGGAGGGGCTTAACCTGCACCAGATGCCTTCTCACCAGCCTCCAGAAGCTGCCTGTGTACAGCAAGAAGCCAGCACCATTTATCTGCCCATTGTACAGGGGATGGAACTGAGACCCAGTAGGGGAGACAAGTTGCCCACCATCATACGGCAATTAAGTGGCAGAACCGTGGGCTCCAACAGCTGGGCTCTTAACCTCTGTACTCTGAACCTCCTCACTCTCACCATGTTGTTCCCTCTGCCAAGAATGCCTTTCCTTCCCTCAGCTGCTGAAAAGCTCCTGTAAGGCTCCAGCGTCATCAACTGAGTGACCCTCTGGTCGGGATAGAAAGGGTCCCAGTATTCAAGTGGGCAAATGGAAGGCCCGGGACGCTCTGGTACAGTTAGGGTGGACTGGGACCCCAGCCTCTCCTGGCTCCTCACACAAGCCCAAAAAGTCACGCAGGCTCCCCCCCAGAAAGTGAATTTCCAACCAGGGCAACTGCTTTTGTCTGTGGCTTCCTCCAGCAAAAGAGGGCTGTTGGAACAGAAGCCGGAGATCATGTATTTAAAGATCTGCAAGGTCTTCACTGAGACAGGAAGCTCAGGGCCAAAACCTGAGAGGATAGAAAGATGGGAGGGGCTTAAATTTGGCTCCTAGATTCTGGGCTCAAGGCACAGCAGGCCCCACCAAGGCATTCATCTTGAATTTTTTTTTTTAAAGATTTTATTTTATTTATTTGACAGAGAGAGACACAGCAAGAGAGGGAACACAAGCAGAGGGAGTGGGAGAGGGAGAAGCAGGCTTCCCGCCGAGCAGGGAGCCCGATGCGGGGCTCGATCCCAGGACCCTGGGATCATGACCTGAGCCGAAGGCAGACGCTTAACGACTGAGCCACCCAGGCGCCCTCATCTTGAATTTTTACAAGTTCCTGAGGCCACAAGACTACTGTTGCCCCACAAGCCAGGGATGCCCCTCAAATGCAATGTCATTTGCCCCCTGAGGCTCTCTGTGAAGCAGGAAGCCCAGAGAGGGGCAACCTCCTGCCCAAGGTCACACAGCCAGTTCACAAAGACCAGAACCCAGAGGTAGGTGTGCAGGAGATATAAAAATGAAGTGAGTGCGTTTCTCCCTCCGGACAAGCAGGGAAGGTATGAGTTTCACACTCTGCTAGCTCCGGCTTTCACTCCATAGTGCATCCAGCTGGGGGCCCAGGGCACTGAATGTTGGCCGGTCTTGCGGGCTAGAGGCCCAGCACAGCTTCATGAGCTCATGAACCTGAGGGGTGGGAGGAGACAACAGGGTCACATATGAGCGGTAGGAAGGACATGACTCCTATTCACCATTTTAAAATATAAATTAGATTCCATCCCTCCCCTGCTCCAAAGCCTCCCATGGCTCCCTAGAGGTCTTAGAACAAAATCTCATGCCCTCCCCTGTCTCCTTCCATCACCCCCTCTCTTGTTCCCTGCAGCCACATCTGCCCCCATCTCATTATTTAAAGGCATCAAACTCATTCCCACCTCAGGGCCTTTGCACATGCTGTGTCCACCACTGAGAATGCCCTCTCCCAGCTTTCCCTATGGGTAGGCTCCTCCTCCTCCTTCAGGATCACCCCCTCTGAAAGGCCCCCCTGACCACGACCGCACCCCCTCATTCCCTCCTGTTCAATTCTTTCTAGACACTGATAACCACCAGACCAGAGTGTTCTTGTTAGCCTCTGCTGGTTACCAGGAGGACAGGGTAGTATCTGTTCTGTCCCCTGCTGGGTCCTCAGCACCCAGCACAGAGCTCGGCACACAGTCAACGCTCAATAAACATTTGTGGCCTGGGCAGATACATTTTTTTTTTTAAGATTTTATTTATTTGTGTGAGAGAGAGAGAGAGCACACTGGGGGAAAGAGCATGGGAGAGGAGAGGGAGGGGGAGAGAATCTCAAGCAAACTCCATACCCAGTGCAGAGCCTGACATGGGGCTTGATCTCACCATCCTGAGATCATGACCTGAGTGGAAACCAAGAGTCATTCGCTTAACTGACTGAGCCACTCAAGTGCCCCTGGGCAGATCACTTTATGAATGACCAACCTCATGTTAGATCTTTCCCCAAAAGTTGTGACGATAAACTGTAAGAGTTGTTAACATTTATGGAGTGTTGACAGTGCGCTGGACCCTAAGCTGAGCACTGGAGAGGTGTTAACTTGTCTAACCTTCCCCCACCCCATAAGGCATTGTGTTTTGGGGTTTTTTTTTTTTAAGATTTTATTTATTTTACAGAGAGACAGCGAGAGAGGGAACACAAGCGGGGGGAGTGGGAGAGGGAGAAGCAGGCTTCCCGCCAAGCAGAGAGCCCGACGTGGGGCTCGATCCCAGGACTCCGGGATCATGACCTGAGCGGAAGGCAGACGCTTAGCTGACTGAGCCACCCAGGCACCCCCCCCATAAGGCATTGTTATTCCCATTTTGGAGATGGGCAAACTGAGGCTCTGAAAGTGTTTGCAACTTGCCATACAGTGAGAGAACAGCAAAATAGAAGCCAAACTCCCCTTCAGATTCATGCCCCGGGGTATGCTCTCAATCAAGAGACAACAGGAGGTGGGGAGACCCAAAGGGGCCAGCTGGCTTGCCCAGGAAAATCCAGAGTGGGAAACTGAGGCAGGCCCTCCAGTGCTCACCTCACCAGGGCAGGCAGGAGGTGCAGGCAGCCTCTGGCCCTCAGCCAGCAGCTCCAGGAGGCAGCAGAGGGCCGGGACATCTCCATCACATCCCATCATCCGCAGGAACTCCTGGGGCCAAGAGGGAGCGCCCGTGGTGGGAGAGGTGCCATCCGTGAAGGAAGGAGGAGGGGCCGCCAGTGACTGGAGAGGGGTGGGGGTGGGGAGGCAGGGGGCAGCCATAGTGAAGGGAGGGAGAGAATCACCCGCGGTGGGGAGAGGGGCCAGGCGTAAGGGAGGAGGAGGGGTCATCCGTGATGGAGGGGGAGCGGGCTGCACGTGGTAGTGGGGGTCAGCCTTAGTGAAGAGAGGTCCTCCCCATTATAGAGGGCCTATATAATGCTGGGACCAGGTGACACTGAGCAAAAGAGGGACTCGGGCACAAACGGGGCAGGGATTGGCCAGGAAGGGGTTGGGGAGAGGAGGGTACTGGGGAATGCAGGGGTGCTGACTCACGGCTGAGGGGCTGCAACTCTTGTTGCCGTAGGTGAAAAGCTCGTACAGGACGACCCCGAAGCTCCAGACGTCGGACTGGCGCGAGAAGATATTGTCAGAGAGGGACTCCGGGGCGTACCTGGAGGGGGACAAGGAAGTCTTGGGATGCGAAAGTGAGGCAGAGTACGGGAAAGGGAACAACCCTGGGCGGGGGGAGCTGGTCAGTGGTGGGTGGGGGCTGTGAGAAGGTCAGTCCCAGCTCTGGGGTCAGAGCTTCCCCGCCTGTGGGATGGGGTATTCTCCAACCCTGCGGAAGGTCTGGGCGGGGTCAGGGCGGAGCCGTGGCTCTGGGGGGCGGGGCCAGTGCCGAGGGGCGGAGCGAGGTGGGACCAGGCTGTGGGGAAGGGACTGTACACCGGTAGGAAGGCCGTGGCCCGGCAAGGGCCCAGGACAGTGGGGAGGAGGGGCGGGGGGTAGTGGAGAGAAGTGGGGGCCTGGGCGGGGTCAGGAAGGGCCGTAGCTGTAGGGCAGGGGCGGGGCCAGTGTTTAGGGGGCGGGGCCAGGACTGTGGGAAGGGCGGGGCCATGGCGGGCTCACGAAGGTGGGAGCGAGGTAGGGGCCCCAGTAGTGGGGAGGAGAGGTAGGCCGGGGCGGGGGCGGGGTTCCCACCAGAAGATGGGGCTCTGGCCGGGCTCGCGGACCACGTAGTAGTCTTTGTCGAGCGGCAGCAGCTTGGCGAGGCCAAAGTCGGCGATCTTGACGTGCGTCTCGCTCTCCACCAGGATGTTACGCGCGGCCAGGTCGCGGTGCACGCAGCGGCGGGAGCCCAGGTACTCCATGCCCTGCAGGCGCGCGTGAGGTGCGGACTCCAGCATAACCTGGAATCCAGCCCAAACCCATCCCAGGGCCCAAGCCTGACTCTGCCCTGGACCCATTCTGCACTCCAGGCCTGACCTCAGCCCCAGCTCAACCGCTCCTTGTCCAACCTGACTGGACCCCCAAACTTCAACCCTCCGCCTTCCCCGCGACTCCACGCAGACCCCCGCCCAGACTTCGCCACGTCGGCGCCCGCGTCCCGGGGCACGGCCCGCACCTTGCAGATCTGCGAGGCGTAAAGGAGCAGGCGGCTGGCGGCGAGGCGCGCGCGATGCCGCTGCAGGAAGTCGCGCAGGCAGCCGCTGGGCAGGTACTCCATCACCAGCCGCAGGCTCTGGCGGCCTAGGGGAGGCGAGGGGAGGCTGGGAGGGGTCACCACAGGGCCCAACTCTGTCTGCGGCCCCTCCCGATTCTTCCTCCCGGATCAGAGTACGACCCTGGGCCCCTCCCGGCCTCAGTATTGCTTTCTGTAAAATGGGAACAGCAACCATGACACTTTTCGCCAAGGGCTCTTGAGTACTTTCTACAATACACACTGATTCATTTAAACCTGATAATGACCCCTTTTTCAGGTGGAGAAACCGATGCTCAGAGAGGTTAAATCGCCTGCCCAAGGTCTCCCAGCTGCTGAGGGAGAGAGCGGGAATTCGAACCCTAGGGGATCCAAATCTGGATTAAGCAAGAGCATCCATAGCGCCCTTCCTGGTGTTCCCAGACCACCCTGAAATGTTACTGCAGGAGGCTGAGGGTGTGTGGTTTGAAGAGCACCGGGTGGGGGAAATGGCTCACCTGGGCCATAGCTGACTCCGCGGTACTTGACAATGAAGTCGCTGTGGAGGGCTTTGAGGATCTGGATCTCCCTCTGGAAGTCCCTCTGTTGGTCTGGCCCGCTGTGCTGCAGCTGCTTCACTGCCACTAGGGCGCCCGTGTTGTCGCCCAGCGGGTCATAGCGGCACAGTTCCACGCTGCCGAAGTTGCCCTGGGGGACAGCAGGGCTGGTGTCCAAGTGCAGGGGTGCATGGGCGCTGCCCCGCCCACCGCAGTCGGGTGCACCTCACCTTGCCCAGCTGTGAGATGTACTTGAGGTGTCTCTCCTCAAAAATGGTAGGGTCCTGGTAGGCGTAGAGCTGGGCGCCATTCCACAGCCCATCACGGGGCGCCAAGGCGCCGGGCGTGGGGTCTGAGAGGAGCTCGTAATCTGCAGGGCCCAAGTAGTAAGGGACCAGTACATTGGGCCTGGGGTCCCCCTCCTAAGCTGACTTGCCAGGGGACTTCGATCTGCATGCTTACCTTCTCCACACAAGCCTACGGGTACTTTGTGGGGGGGGGGGGCTGGAAAAAGAGGCCGACTGGGCAAAGGCAGACCCCTTATGTGCTCTGCATGCTGTGCAAACTACATATAGCTTTGGAGACAGAAGGGCATTTCCCAGACTCCACTGCTGTGAAGGGTGGTACGTGACTGAGCTCAGTCTGATGAGGGAGAAGTGCTGGCGGCTCTTTCAGGCCTGGCCCATGGGACCCTCCACAGTCTCTCTCTCTTGTCTGCAGAGGATGCCACAGGGACCTGAGGCCATGGGATGGGTAGAGCCACAAAGGGAGAGGTGCCTGTTGACCTGGACACTCTCACTGAATGAAAGGTAAATATCCATCACGTTCGATCTGGAGCCAAGGGGGTCTGTTTGTTACAGCAGCGGTTGAGGTTCATGCTGACTGTTACAGTCACCAACCACTCCAACCCTGCCAAGCACACAGGGCCGGCTCTGCATGCAAATTTCACTTCCCCCTCGCCCCCCGGGGCCTAATATGACAGGCCAGCCCTGCCCACCCTGCCCGGCCCAGTGGGCACCTGAAGTGATGAGGCTGTTCAGGTCACGGATGATGGCACGGAAGGAGGGTCTCTGGCCTGGCTCATAGGCCATGCACTGCTGGATCAGTATGGCCAGCTCCGTCCACTTGGGGGCAGGCAGGTGCTGCCGTTCCTCATAAAACTGGAGCTTCTGAAGTTGAGAAGAGTGGCTGGTCACTCCCAGTGCACCCTCAGGAGCCCCCCACCCTAGACCAGCCCATCCCCCCCAAGCTGGACCTCAGCCCACCCTTCTCCCAAATGGGCACTCTAGAGGCCAGTGAGGGTGCTCTGACCTTGGCGGGATCCAGGGTGCTGATGGGCATCGGGATCCCGCTGAACACCTCCCAGGCTGTGGCACCAAAACCCCACTTGTCAGCTTCCAAGCCGAGTGTCCGGGCCTCCTGGAGACACTCGGGGGCCACCCAGGGGATCCTGTCAGTGAGCACTGGGGAGTGGGGCTGGGGTTAGGCGTCTGCTTCCCTGCCCCACTGCCCCTCTAGGGCACTAGGCCCCTCCCTCCACCCTTCCGGACTTACTGTCCCGGCTTAGCACAGAGGGGCTGACACCAGGGTCACTCAGCTTGATGAAGGGCAGGTTCCCATCAGCCCCTTCGCGAGCCAGGAGCACCTTCCGGGCTGAGACATTGCCATGGGGGAGGCCTTTGTCTTCCTGGGTGGGCCAGGCATAGAGAATGCCAGGGAGGGTTTGCTGGATGAATCGTCTGGCTGAAGAACCACTACACATCCTTCAAAGCCCACCTGGGGCTGCTCAGACCATACTTCTAGACCATTCCTGTCTTGCCTCCTCTGGTTCACCCCCTGCGCTGCCCTGTGTCCCTCCCCTTCAAACCCACCCTGTGGCTCCCCACTGCCTTTAGGATAAAGTCAGAGGTCCTCAGTCTAGCATTCAAGGCCCTTTGAGATACTTGCTCACTCTTCCTATGACATTCTCTCTTCCACACCTCTACCCTGGTCTCCTGCCAACTGAACTGCTGGATGCATCCCAGGACATGCAACTCATCTTCTAAGTTGCAGGCCTTGGCCCAGGCTGTGCCCTCAACCTGACACACCCTCCTTCTTTTCTCCTCTTGATGAGCTTCTATTCAACCCTCAAGGCCCAGCTCCCATGTTCCTTCTTCTGGGAAGCCTTCCCCCGGCCTGGCCTCATGGCTCAATACTCCCCACTGAAATCCACCAATGACCACCTGTTCCCTTCTCCCGCTCTTACATCTCTGAGCTTGTATGTATGCTTCTCCCTAAAATGCCCTCCCCTTGCATCCATACCAAACTCCTACACATACCACAGAGCCCACTCTCAATTGCCCCTCCATTCTCTGCATAGAGGGTAGAGCAAGCAGAAGAGCACTCACCAGATAGTTGAGGGCATAGGCCAGCTGTTTGATCACCTGCAGCTTCCAGCTGGCTGGCACCAGGTGGCCAGACTTGCGCAGGTAGGTGTCCAGCGCTCCCAGGTGTACAAATTCCTGCACCATGATACCTGGCGGCAGGCAGCAGGGAGGGGCAGGGCTGGGAGGCAGGACTGCAGCGGTGTTGAACAGGCTCCGCCCCACCCCACCCTCAGGGCTCCCTGGAGCTCTCAGTTCTGACTGTTGCATCGGTCCTTAGCCTACTCACCTCTCCTCCTCCTCACTTCCCCTGTGGCAACTATTTCCCCGAGATGCCTGGAAGGGCACTTCCAGCCCTTTGCATGTTCTGTCTGGGACATCCCCCCTCCTCTCCTCCTCTTCCCTAATTCCTACTTATCTTTGCCTTCTCTGCCTAGAACTTACCTTTGCCTATCCAGAATCATTGCCTAACCTCCAAGCTGGGCTAGCGGCCTTTGACCACCCACAGTGGCCTGTGCCGCCCCCTCACACATGATCATGTATCACCCTGCCCCACCTGTCGTGTTCCACACTGTGAGTGCAGCTCCTGGCCCCTCCTGGGCTCCTGATAAATAGTTGCTGTACGAATCTGGTGGAACTGGAGCTTGGAGAGGTAACTTGGCCCTTGCAAAGCTACAGAGGGGGGTACACAGCGAGGTGGGATTGGAACCCAGGCCCGTCTGACTTGAGATAATTCTGTGGGGCTGGGTATCGGTGGGAGCTTGGAGCTGCTGCCCCAGAAGTGACAAATGAAGGACACAGGTAACAGGGTGAGGGACCCTGGGGGACACGGGGCCCCAGCCAGGGCGGGCTCTGGGTTTGTATCGCTAATGCTGCCCTAGACGGTTTCCCTGAGGAAGGGTGGGGGCAGGGGTGAGGGTTCTGTCTCACTGTCTCCAGCCATGCACACGCCGTGGAGCAACACGAGATGCTGGTATGACACTTGGCTCATCAAACTCGCTGCTTCCAGAAATGACTGGGGAGAGGAGAAGGGAGAGAAGGTCCATGGGTTCCTCCCACTCCAGGGTCAGACCAAGCACCCCAAACTTGCTGCTCACAAATCGGCCTCAGGAGGGCACCTCACCACAAGCCTCCTTTGACCTTGGAGTCCACCACTGGTATACACAGGACTCTATCATGGTTTTCTGATGGGGGCTGGAAGTCTCCACTGTAATCCACCTTGGGTCCCTCACACAGAAGTGGGAGACTTGGGGTTCAAGGAGGACTCATGCCTTCCCTGGGTGGCCCAATCCTTGCTGATGCTTCCATCCACATCACTCCCCTCTTCTCCTTTGCTCACTTCTCTCCAGCCCAGTGGCCCTTCTTTACTTTTTTTTTTTTTAGATTGTATTTATTTAAGTAATCTCTGCACCCAATGTGGGGCTCGAACTTATGACCCTGAGATGAAGAGTCATGTGCTCTTCCAACTGAGCCAGCCAGACGCCCCCTCCTCACTGTTCCTTAAACATGCCAGGCACAGGGGTGCCTGGGTGGCTCAGTCAGTTAAGTGTCTGCCTTCAGCTTGGGTCATGATCCCAGGGTCCTGGGATTGAGCCCTGCATTGGGCTCCCTGCTCAGCAGGGAATCTGCTTCTCCCTCTCCCTTGGCTGCTCCCCCTGCTTGTGCTCCCTCCTCCCCCTCTCAAATAAATAAATAAAATCATTAAAAAAAAAACATGCCAGGCACAACCCTGCCTCAGGATCTTTGCACTGGCTGTTTCTTCTATTTGGTGTACTCTTTCTGTTTCCATCTAAATTCCCTGACCCTTCTGTATTTCATGGTTTGGAGATGCTGCAGCTCCATTTCTGTTGTTTTAAGACCTGTGTGTTTTTAAATTTCCCTGAATCCACAACGCTCTCTCCAGCCAGTCCTGATCCCAAAGTCTTGGTCCCCATCACACTCACCTCCATGCAGTTTTTATGCTTGGCATCCATCACTTTGAGCAGCACCTCCGTCTCCCGGACCTCCCCCTCCACGACCTCGTGGCGACAACCTCGGTAAATCTTGGTGAAGGACCCATGACCCAGGTTCTCATGCTGGAGGGTGAGGGGGCAACATGAGAGGCTGGTAAGGGGGCTCCTGGTGGGATCCTGGCCCCTGGCCCTGGCCCCATTTTACAGATAATGAAACAGAGGCACAAGGAGGTTATGTCACATGCTCGAGGCCACACAGCAGAGATGTAAATGGGGTACAATGAGGACCCAGTGTCTGAATCCCAACGGAGGTCCCCCTTCCATTTCCTGGGGCCACTTACCCACTCCAGGCTGTCAGCAGGGATCTTGTGAAATGTCATCTGACTCAGCTGGCAGTGGGACTGGAACCGAACAGGGGATGATGTGGGCGTGCTACAATCCCTCCGCACCACAATCAGGTTGGACTTTTCTACGGGGAGGAGGTGGAGGGAGAAAAAGAGCGGTCAGAGGTGGAAGGCCCCCTAAGGTTTGCTCACTCCCTGCCTTAATTTGGGGCCCCTCCCAGAAGACAACCCTGAGGTGAGGACTCCAAGGTACGTGGTTTATTTGAGACTCTAGGAAGCCCCAGTCGGGGGAGGGGGGCGGGGAGGGTGACCGATGAGCAGGCAACCTAGTCTCAGTTCTGCTAGAGATTCTGGAAGACTCTGAAGAACTCACACCTCAGAGTTGTCCCATCCAAGGGGTTTGTCTGAGAGTGAAATTCACCCAGAGGAAGAGGCAAGAGATGGAGAGAGTCTAAGAGTCAGTGACATCTCTCGGATCCAGCTGCAACTGGATCTCGTCATGCCTGAAGATAGCATCTATTCCACAAACACATAAATCACCTTTTCTTCCCTAACCCATCTCGACCCGCTATCTCTGCCCCCTGCCGCACAAGGCAGGTCCCCAGCTCGATTGCTCCACTCAGGGGAGGGGGCGGGCTCACCTTTGGGTTTGGGGGTGCAGCAGAAGGTGAGGTTCAGCGCAACCCCGTCCACGTGCAGCCCGCCGTCCCAGCAGGCTGCCAAGAGCTCTCGGAGACTGCTGTGGGGACGGCCAAGGCCAGCCAGGGACAAGGTTCCCGTGGGGTCACGCCGGATGAGGCAGCCCTTGTAATCAGGACCCAGGGGGGTCTGCAAGGAGGAGTGGTCCCTGAGTGGAAGTGGGCAGTACTTTTCCCTCACCCCATCTTCCTCCAGCACCACAGGCTCGTTCCAATCTCCAAGCCTTTGCATAAGCCATTCCCTCCACTGGGAATGCCTTTACCCTCCCCTTCCTCCAGGAGCAAATACTGACTCATCTTTCAGGTCTCAGCTCAAATGTCATCTCCTTCAGGAAGCCCTCCCTGCCCATGTGGCTCCTAGTGGTGGACCAACCTGGACACAGACAGTGAGGAGGAAGCAATCAAAATCCTGGGGACTGCGGCGGAGAACGTAGGAGCCAGGAAGTGAGCCCCCAGTCTTGAGCTTGTTGATGGCAAAATCCAGGCTGTGGAGAAAGGCCGGAGGAAAAGACAGAGACACAGAGATGGAGGCAGACTTGGGTTCTAATCCTCCTGGTTCCTCTGAAGCCCTGGGATCCTCACCAGCTAACATTCCCTCTCTTCTTCCTATTTTTTATTTGACAGAGAGAGACACAGCGAGAGAGGGAACACAAGCAGAGGGAGTGGGAGAGGGAGAAGCAGGCTTCCCACGGAGCAGGGAGCCCGATGCGGGCTCGATCCCAGGACTCTGGGATCATGACCTGAGCCGAAGGCAGACGCTTAACGAATGAGCCACCCAGGCACCCCATCTCCTTCCTATTTTTTAAAATGAGCCAAAAATCAAGGCTTCTATTAGGTGATTAAAGAAGAGGCTGCAGGTGGAACCTGGTGTCATCCATCCCCAGGAATCGGCCCTGGGGCCCTGAGGAATCAGAGAGAGGGAGGCCACTGCCCTGGCCAGCAGCAGAAGGGAGAGCCTAGTCTCATTGAGCGCCAACCGTGCACCAGGCGCTGTTCCAGCCCTTGACCCCTCTCCAAGGCTCCTGGGAGGGGAGGACACTGAGGCAGCGAGAAGGGGAGTGCCCAAAATTCGAACCGAGTTCTGGCCGCGGAGGGCAGGCATGGGGGGTGGACCCTTACGTGATGGGGCCGTGGCACTGCTCGGCCACCTCCTCCAGCAGCCGCGGCGGCGCAACCTCCTTGCAGAAGAAGTGCCGGGAGTCGGAGGTCAGCCGGAAGTAGCCGTCGACTAGCGCCACGAAGGACAACGCGGCGGGCAGCCCCGGGAACTCGGCCTCCTGTGAGGACCCGCGTCAGCGCCCGCTACGGCCCGAAGGCGACGGTCCCACGTCCCCGCAGTCGGGGTTAGGCGGGAGGGGAGAGGGTCCAGCACTCACCAGGATCTGGTTGTCTGTCCTGGTGACGGTGACCAGGCGGTGCTCCCCGGCCGGGCCAACACGCGGAGCCTGCTTGATGCTGATGTCCACAATTTCTGGAAAGTCGCAGAAGGGCTGGAGGGCCTGGGAACGAGGGGGAGGGCTGGAGCTGGCGGTCCCGTCCCCTCGGAGCCCCCAGTCCCTCTTGGAAGCCTGGACCCCACCAACCCATGCCGTAAGCCCTGACCCTCTAAGCCTCTCCCAACCCCGGCCCCTTCCCACCACGCCCCTGCCAAGCCCCGGGCCCTTCTATCAGTCCCATCCCTCACAAACCCTCCCCAGCCCATCCCCAGTGTCTCCCACCCCAACTCTGCTCAACCCCATCTTCTTCGTTGAGCCGGTTCTTTCCCTGAGGCCCTCCCTCGCTTAGCTCCACTCCACCTCCCGGTCTCTCTCAGTCCAGCCGGGAGCCCCGCCCCGTCTCAGTCCTGACTCCTCCCCCCGACCTTCAGGTAGCCCCGCCCTGAGCCCCCCGCCCAACCAGTCCCATCCCTCTAAGTCCCGCCCATTTTTCGTTCTCGCCCCCACCCCTGGCTCAGCCCCACCTCTCACTCCGCGGGCCCCCATCGGAGCCCTCACAGTCTCTCCCTTCCTTCGCCCCGCCCACTCTCCTGCCCCTCCCTCCTAGGCCCCGCCCCCGCCGTTGGCCCTGCCCACCAGCCGCCCACACCTCTTGTCCTCCTGGACTCCAGGCGATGCCGGTGTCGCCAGCCACTCGGAGCAGCCCCTGCGCATCCTGACCACCAGCAGCCCCGGGGAGGCTCACGAGGAAGGTCTCTACCGCCCTGGCCGGGTCGAGCCTCTCCAGGTCCATGATGTATTTGGCCATGAGCGAGTGCCTGTCAGCCTGGCAGGCGGTCACGCGGCGCAGGGCCCGGCGCACAGTCCTGCGGATGCGCTTCCGCGTCACGAACCTCAGGCCCTGGATCAGGTCGCGCAGGTCGGGAGGCAGGCAGACCTTGTAGCTACGAGTGAGGGTAGCGGGTCCTCACTGTGGGGAGGGATCTCCACAGGTAGGGACAGGGACACACACAAACCCGAATTTTAGTTGAAGGGCTGAAGTGTGGCCTCGGCTGGGCGGCACACACGGAGACACTCAAGGACACCCACGCGGGAAGGACCACTGGGGTCCACAAGACGGACACACACACACAGGCCTTCAGCGGCAGGAGGGAGGCAAGGACTGGAGCCCCAGTGGGTCGGTGGGGTCCTGGCTCACATGGACACACTGCGGGCTTGTAGGTGGGGAGCCTCATGGGAGCCTGAGCTCTAGGGATGCCCCAGTGGAGCCACATTTGCTCCCTCGCAGGTAGACGCTGGGTACCACAAGCTGGAAGCCCTCACCTGACAGTTTTCAGCAGCTCCTCAGGCTGCTGAGCCTGCTCGCGGGCCATCCGGGCCAGGTCCAGCACCGCCAGGCTGAGACATTCACCCTGCTCCTTGAGACTGAGGCCCACAGGGAGGCGGCCGCTCACCAGGTCATTCCGGTGCTGGGGGCCGGTCACAGCCCAACCGTGAGCCCTGATGTTGCCCTACAGACCCCCCCACCGTTGGGCCGATTCCCAACCCTGGGCTGCCACAGAGAGGGTCAGCCAAGGCCGCCCAACTGCGAGCCTTGATGTTGCCCTGTGGACCCCAGCCCCGGGCTAAGCCCCATGCAGACCCCTACCTGGGCGAAGAGGTGCTCCAGGACTGGTAGGTCAAGGATGGCGCTGGCCAAGTCCTTTCGTAGCCCGAAGCGGTGGCACTTCTCTAGCCCAAACCAGTTGGGGAAGTAAAAGCTGTTGGGGAAGGGGAGAAGCCTGGAGTAGGGGTAGGGAGGGGTGGAAGACCGTGCTGAGACCTCACAGAGCCCAGGTTGTGCCACTGACTTGTTATGTGACCTTGGGCAAGCAACGCACACCCTCTGGCCTCAGTTCTTCATCTGTGCCATGAGCGGTGATCACATCCTCCCTGGGGCACCACTGGGAAGTGCAGGGAGATGATAATGTTGTAGGATCACTGTGGTTCTAAACTCCCCTTGCCCTCAACAAAAGGCACCCCCTCTTGGTAACATTTAACCCATGCCTGTGGGAGTAGGGGTGATGTGCTTCTTACCGGAGCCTGTAGACCAGAACTTGGGTGCCCGGGTCCTCCACGGAGAAGACGTGGCTTGGGGGGAACCAGCAGGACAGGTCCTCCGTGGCCAGAGCAAAGAGGGAGTGGTACACAGGCAGGATGCCTGAGGGGATGCCCCCATCAGCACCCTCCTAAATTTCCCCATCTTGTCCCTTGCAGGGCTGCCATGGTTACGAACCCCATGCAGCCCTGCAGGGCTCTTTCCCACCTTGGGCTCTCACGCTGTGTCCCACCCCTGCTCACACACACTCCAGGGCTCCCCATTGCCCTTAGCAGAGAATCCACACACAACCTGCTTCCTGGGGCTCCCTGCCCTTCTCCCCAGAGTGCTCCTTCCACTGTACACTTTACGTCAAGGGATGACCAACTGTTTGCCCTCATGTGCCTCCGAGTCTTTGCACAGCCTTTCCCTGAGCACCTTCCTCCATTTCCAAACTTATTCATCCCTCAAAGCCCCAGCTCCCATGCTGACTCCACTTGACAGCTATTCCAGCTCCCAATCTAGGCCTCCCACAGCCCTACTCCTCTCTTTGGCCCAGTCTTCTAGGGACCCACTCACCACTGGCCTTAGCAGCCCAAACACACAGCTCTTCAGCTGAATGGTCCCCAAAGGAGAAGGATAAGCGCTGTGGGGGTCCAGGGCCCCGAGGGGGCAGCAGCACGTGCAGGGCACCAGCTTCTGAAGACGAGAGGCTGCAGGAGCGCTGAGGAATCAAGGGTGTCTCCTCGCTTGGAGGCGCCATAGGTGTAGCCTGTCTGGACACAAAGAGAGGCAGCCACTCAGTTCTGGCCAGAGGGAGCGAGACTACAAAGCTTCTAGGTGTGTGGGGGGACAGAAATGCGGCAGGGTGAGGTAGGGTTGAAGCTGGTGAAAGAGGGAAGAGAGGGGAACAGAGACACACAGAAAGAGAAAGACAGATGGGGAGGGGCGCCTGGGTGGCTCAGCTGGTCAAGCCTCTGCCTTCAGCTCAGATCATGATCCTGGGGTCCTGGGATCGAGCCCCATGGAAAGCCGCATGTCGGGCTTCCTACTCAGTGGGGAGTCTGCTTCTCCCTCTGCCTCTCCCCCTGCTCACGCTCTCTCTCAAGCACACTCTCTCTCAAAAAAAAAAAAAAAAAAAAAAAGACAGAGGTGGAGAAAGAGAGAAATGGGGGAGCTGAGTGTGCAAGATAGGTGAGGAGCCATAAACCCCCCCAGGAAGGGCTATGCTGGGGTCTGGAGGATATTCTACACTCTAATTTGTGTGAATTCTTCTCTTCTTTTTTTAGTATGGTTGACACACATAATTTGTGTGTATTCTTGTCAGTCCAGGGAGGACATCTCCAGTCAATCTGCAGCCTCCCCACCTACCTTACTCCAAAGCCCCTGCCCTAGGCAGGCATGAGCAATCAATCACAGATGTACACATTTGCAGACCAAGAAGCAGATAGATCCTGGTTCGTATACATGGGTGGCCCATCACTTCCTGCAGGTCTAGGAGACTCAAGCTCTTCTGGGGCTGGGGCTGGGGCTGGGGCTGGAAGCTTTTGCAGCTGATATGATGTATGCCTTGCAGCATGCATTGGATCCAGACTGATGACTCAGTCAGTAGGGACCTCTGTGTCTTATCTGCCCACCACCATCACCATCTCCGTCCCCTTTATCACTCCCACTGTTTAGGCTCCTGTAGCAAGAAGCCCTCCCTGGAATGGGCCTAGGAGGAAATTGCCCCTCACCCTTTATTACCAGAGCTCAGGACCCCTGGCTAGGCAGAGGGAAGGGCTGGGCTTCGAGCCAGCTGGGAAAAGGGAGTAGTAGATGGACAAGATCCACTTACATTGACCTGAATAAGGAAGATACAAAGAAAATATTGGGTAAAAAACCATGTTCCAGGGGCGCCTGGGTGGTTCAGTCGGTTAAGCGTCTGCCTTTGGCTCAGGTCATGATTCCAGGGTCCTGGGATTGAGCCCTGCGTCAGGCTTCCTGCTCAGCAGAGGAATCTGCTTCTCCCTTCTGCCCCTCCCCCTGCTTGTGTGCTCACTCTCTCTCAAATAAACAAAAAACAAAAAAACCATGTTCCAGAATAATAGTAGGAGGTGGAAGAGGGATAGCATTAATGAGGTTTTAGCATACCGAGTCTATAAGCCTGGAGCTGGGATAGGGAAAGACCTTAGGCTCTGGGTTCAAATTCCAACCACATCATACTCAAGCTTTGTGACCATGGCAGGACTCCCACAGCTGGGACTCCACTTTCTCAGCTGTGAAATGGGCTGACTCCCCACCTGCCTTGGTTTGCTGAGCTGAGCCCAAGGTGTCAACGTTTTTAATCCTCACTAACTGGCACAATCCTTGGCAACATGCCCAGGGAGCACTTGACAAAGGCCAGCTAAACCAGACAAGAAGGTCCCTTGACACAGTGGTTTAGTGGTTCCTATGGTGGAGGGACGGCGTGAGGGGAAGGGAATTTTCCTTTAGGGACACCCCCATGTCACCAGCTCCCAGACCAGGAATCAGAACATTCCCAGTCCCAGGAGCCCTGGGGCCCCTGTCACTCCCCGCAAAGGTGATCACTGTCCTATTTCTAATAGTCGACTTAATCATGGTCTTTGCACTTTTATGTAAATGGAATCACACAATGTGTATCTTTTGTTTAAAATCAATCTTAAAGATATGTATATATTTTAAATATTGAAGGAAAAAAAAAAAAGAAAAAGTCAGAGGTGGTGCTTGGGACACAGAAAAATGCCCCTGCTTTAACACCCTAAGTCCCACATCCCCTACAGTTGGTTGGTCACCCTAAGCTCTGGCTGGGTCCTGGGAGGTGGAGGCTGGGAACCGTGCCCCCAGGGGCCATGAACTCCAGGCCCAAGGCACAGTGATTCACTCAGGTCCAGAGAGCTGGAGATTTTTTTTTTTTTTTTAAAGATTTTATTTATTTGACAGAGAGAGACACAGCGAGAGAGGGAACACAAGCAGGGGGAGTGGGAGAGGGAGAAGCAGGCTTCCCACCGAGCAGGGAGCCCGATGCGGGGCTCAATCCCAGGACCCCAGGATCATGACCTGAGCCGAAGGCAGACGCTTAATGACTGAGCCACCCAGGTGCTCCGAGAGCTGGAGATTTGAGGTCTCATCTTATGTAGAAAAAGCAGAGGCCACAGAGCCAGCCCCTCCCAGCTCTTGTCTGTCTAGCAGCTTTCCTCAGAGGCCTTGCCTTGTCCCCAGCCACAGCCCTTCACACATTCCCCCCAACCCCCATCCTAGAGCCATGTGGCCCCACCAGCTCTTACCTGGCAGCTGGGAAGCCTGGGCTAAGGACAGGAGGGTAGAGCCGGGCAGCAGCCGGAGGAAAGTCCCAGTTGGCTCCTTCCTGTGTGGGCCCCTTGACTTCCTGAGCTGCTGTCACTTACCGAAAGTCATGGCCATGTGGGGGATGGGGACAGGGAGGGGAGAGGGCCTGGCCGCGGAGGGGCAGAAAGTTCCAGAAGCCTCCCCGGGCAGTGGCCCTCCAGACAGAGTGCTGGAAACCCTGGACCTAAAGGGAGGAGTAACAGCACAGAGAAAGGCCCCGGTCACAGAGGGGTTCTCAGCAGGCTCCGGACTGCTGCTCACTCCCTGGGGGGCCCTGGCAATGCCCCAGCTCCTTGGGCCTCAGTTTACCTATCTGAGGCACATCTGGGTTGGGTATTCAGGCTGAACTAATTTTGCACCCAGAGAAGGGAACTGGGCTTGATCTACCCAGGAAGGAGGCAGGAAAGTTGCCCCAAAGGTCAAGTTCTTCTGGGTGTTTCTCCCATGAGACCCTAGGAGGAATAACAGGCCCCTTCTGTGCACATGCCCTACACCCCGCCCTAGAAACAGGCTCACCTCACCTTCTGGTCTGCCAGGGAGACAATTACTAATTAAGGATAACAAAGAAAAGCAGGGGGCGCCTGGGTGGCTCAGTCCTTAAATGTCTGCCTTTGGCTCAGGTCATGATCCCAGGGTCCTGGGATTGTGCCCTGCATCGGGCTCCCTGCTTGGCAGGAAGCCTGCTTCTCTCTCTCCCACTCCCCCTGCTTGTGTTCCCTCTCTCTGTGTGTCTCTCTCTGTCAAATAAATAAATAAAATCTTAAAAAAAAAAAAAAAAGAAAGAAAAGCAGAGTGATGGCACAGACTGGGGCTGGGGGGGGAGGGTTGTGGCAGTGGGGGGACCTCTGTGCAGAGGTCATGATTAATTGAGTCGGGATCTGAAGTAGGACAAGGAAAGAGCATGCCCAGTGGTGGGCACCTCAAGTGCAAAGGCCCTGAGGTAGAGTGAGGTGAGCAGTTTGAGCAGAGAGGAGGCAGGAATGACAGAAAGAGGTAAGAAGTGGGGGGGGAGTAGAGCGGTGAGCAGGGGTCAGGTCTGATCATTTTTTCACGCCCCTGAAGTTGTCGTGAGTGGAGGAGGCAGGAGGCTAGGGCAGCATCCCGGTGAGACCCAGCCCAGTGTCCTTACCCCAGAAAGTAGAGTTTGGGGAATAGATTTTAGAGGACTCTTTCATCTCCAAAATCCCATCACATGTCCTGGCACAAAAATGGCTTTGGCATGTATGTATTTTGTTGACTTTAGTTCGATCACCCACAGACACTTATGGGGCACCTACCAGAGCAGACCAGTACTCTGTGGAGCTGACAGTCTAGTGGGAGAGATGATATTAAATTATTACCCAGGGGTGCCTGGCTGGCTCAGTCGGAAGAGCCATGCGACTCTTGATCTCCAGGTCGTGAGTTCAAGTCCATGTTGGGTGTAGAGATTACTTAAATAAATAAATAAACTTAAAAAAAATTAAACCCAATAATTGTCCCAGTGGCCCCCAGGGCCAGGCTGCTAGGAGAGGCCCTGAGTCTAGGAGGGCTTCCTGGAGGAGATGGCTTTGATACTGAAATCCAAGGACAAGTGGGATTAGCCAAAGAGTGATCTGGAGGTGAGGGGAGCTCCTGCAGAGGCTGGGAGACTGGACCAGGTCACAGTGTTTCTGAAGGGCAGGGTGTTAGGGACTTAGTGCTCTGAGACTTGCTTGGAAGCATCAGTGGGGCTTGTCGGGGGAGGGAGGGGATGAGTATAACCTCAGCCACAGCCGGCTAGGGGCAGGAAGTGCTGCACAGGGACTTAGCTGTAGCATTTTTCTTTTACTTCCCGTGTGGCTTCAGCAGAGAGGAATGCAAACGTTACTTCCATCCCTGGCCCTGAGGTGGAACCCCAGCCCTCCAGGGAGCACAGTGAGTTTCTGGGCCCCTGACAACTCCAGTAGGATGGTCACTGTGGTATTTTGGAGAATGAGCAGGAAGGGAACAGGGTTAGGACAAAGGTGACACCCTCGGCCCCAGAGAGGGGTATGTGAAGCCTCCATCAGGAAGTTTCAGGGAGGCAGAGCCCAGAAAGTTTGCTCAAGAACAAACTGGAGGGGCACCTGGGTGGATCAGTCGGTTGAGTGTCCGACTCTTGGTTTCGGCTCAGGTCATAACCTCGGGGTCCTGGGACCGACCCCCACGTTAGGGTCTACAGTCAGCGTGGAGTCTATTGGAGATTCTCTCTCCTGTTCTCTCTGCCCCTTCCCCCTGCTCTCTCTCTCTCTCTCTCAAATAAATAAATAAATCTTAAAAAAAAAAAAAGAAGAAGAACAAAGTGGAAACTTTAGTGATATAAACATCCCGAATTTTCTGCTGGCAAAAAGCCCATAAATGCAGTCAAAGAATAAACAAATGAAACTGAAAACAAATGTGAACTCATATCGTGGATAAAATATCTTCATTATACAAGCACCTCCTAGAAAACAATAAGAAAATGCCAATAACTTAGCAGGCTATGAACTCAGAAGTCACAGAAAATGAAATATGAATGGTTCTTAAACCCAGAAAAAGAGGGGTACCTGAGTGGCGCAGTCGGTTAAGCGTCTGACTCTTGGTTTCGGCTCAGGTCATGGTCTTAGGGTTGTGAGATCAAGCCCTGTGTCAGGCTCCACACTGAGTGTGGAAGTCTGCTTGCATTCTCCCTCCCTCTCCCTCTGCCCCTACCCCCGCCCCATGCACTCTCTCTCTCTTTCACTCTTTCTCTAAAATAAATAAATCTAAAAAAAATACCCAAAAAACAGAAAAAGATTCTCAGCCTCATTCGTACTAGGAGAAATGTAAATTTCAAGCACAGTGAAACCATATGATCATATCAATGGATATAGGAAAGATTTGACCAAATTCAACACCTATTCATAAAAACTTTTAGCAAAGTAGGTATAAATGGGAACGTCCTCAAACTGATAAGAAGCATCTACAAAAAAAGCTATGGGTAATATTTTACTCAGTGTCAAAGACTGAATTGTTTCCTGCTGAGATTGGAAAGAATACCAGGATGTCCATTTTCACCACTTCTATTCCACATCCCTCTGGAGGTCATAGTTATTACAATGAGGCTAGAAAAATAAATAAAGTGTATAAAGATTGGAAAGGAGGAAGTAAAACTCTTCCTACTTGCAGATGATATGATTATTTATATGTAAAAAATCCAAGGGAATCTATGGTAACTACTGAACTAATAAATTTATTTAGCATGTTCACAAGTTAAAAATATACAAAATTCAGCTGAATTCTTATATATTATATATTCTTTTTTTAAAGATTTTATTTATTTATTTGCCAGAGAGAGAGAGCACAAGTAAGCAGAGTGGTAGGCAGAGGGAGAGGGAGAAGCAGACTCCCTGCTGAGCGGGGAGCCCCACGCCGGGCTCCATCCCAGGACCCTGAAATCATGACCTGAGCTGAAGGCAGACGATTAACCGACTGAGCACCCAAGCGCCCCTATACTATATATTTTTATATAATAGCAAACAACTGGAAAATGTAATTAAAAAATTTTTTTTAATTTTAAAAAAAATCCTATTTGCAGCAGCAGAAAAAATTAAATATCTAGGGGTAAATATATCAAAAGAAGTCTAAGATCTCTGCACTAAAAACTACAGATATTACCAGGCAAAATTCAAGAAGATCTAAATAAATTGAAAAATATACCGTGTTCATTGATTGGCAGAGTCAGTGTTGTTAAGATGTTAGTTCTCATGTCAGGACTTTACTAGGTTGGCAGCAGAGGGGCAGAAGGAAGTATAGAGGGAGAGATGTATGCGGATGTGTTCATATTTACATTGTAATGATAACTGTTAATGTGTGTGCGTCTCTTTGGCTGTACTATAGGAATAAATTGATTCAATGGAAACGTACCTCCTTGCTAATATTTGAATAGTATAGATTGGATAATGAATTCTTTTTAGAAGCATTGTACGTTGTGTACTCTTACTTTGTCTCAGTTTTAATTGAACATTAAGGGAATGCGGTATTTTAATTGTAACTCTGCCAATATCTTTATCTAGAGGCCTGTTGCCATTTTTGTCTTTTATGAAATTTTTGTAGCCAAGAAAGGCAGGATTACATTTTTTTTTTCTTTCAGATGGAGTTGGTGTAGTGTATTCTTGGTTATCAAAATACTCGAAGTTTGGGGACTTTGAAATGGTAAATATTCATGGTGATAAAAAAGCATGATACATAACTGTACAATCTTAATTACATTAAAATACTTACTTATGTAGATACACACATGGGACCTAGAAGTCAGACTGTAAGCTGCTTGTGATTATGGATGACTTTGTTCTTTGCTTCTTGTGTTTTTCAGTTTCCTTTTATGCACATGTTAACTTTTAAAAAATAAATTTTTAAAAACCTAAAAAAAAAAAAAAAGATGTTAGTTCTCCCCAAATTGATCTTTGATTCAGCGGGATTTTTTTTTTTTTTTTTGCAGAAACTGGCACTAACTTTAAAATTTATATAGAATTACAAAGGACCTAGAATAACCAAACTCATTTTTAAAAAATATTTTATTTATTTATTTGTCAGAGAGAGAGAGCACACAAGCAGGAGGAGCAGCAGAGGCAGAGGGAGAAGCAGGCTCCCTGCTGACCAAGGAGCCCGATGCAGGGCTCCATCCCAGGACCCCAGGATCATGACCTGAGCCGAAGGCAGATGCTTAACAACTGAGCCACCCAGGCGCCCCAAGCATCCAACTTTTGATTTCGGCTCAGGTCATGATCTCAGGGTCCTGAGATGGAGCCTGGCACTGGGCTGGTGCAGAGCGTGGAGCCGGCTTGGGAGTCTCTCTATCCCTCTCTCTCTCTGCCCCTCCCCTACTCACACATGCACAAGTGCTCATGCTCTCTCTCTCTCTCTCTTTCTCTCTCTCTCTCTCTAAAAGAAAAAAAGTGGTAATGAACTACTGATACATGCAACAACTTGGAACACTCTCAGAATCATCATGCTGAGTGGAAGAAGCCAAACACAAAGCTTACGTATAACATTCTGGAACATGCAAACTATTTTTAGTGACAGAAAGCAGATCAGGTTGCCTGGCAATGAAAAGTGCAGAGAAGGGGGTGCTGTAAAGGGATGCAGGACACTGGTGGGGTTGGTGATATATGTTCATCGTCTTGACTGTGGTCATGGTTTCATAGATTTACACACTTGTCAAAACTGCACAAAGCATGCACTTAACATATGTGCAACTTAGTCTAACTCCAATTACACTTAATAAAGGTGAAAAGGGGGGGCGCCTGGGTGGCTCAGTCAGTTAAGCATCTGCCTTCAGCTCAGGTCGTGATCCCGGATTCCTGGGATCAAGTCCCTGGGCAGGCTCCCTGCTCAGCAGGGGAGTCTGCCTTCTCTCTCTCTCCCTCTGCCCCCCTCCCCACTCCTGTGCGCACCTGCTCTCTCTCTCTCAAATAAAAATAAATAAAATCTTGGGTTCCTGGGTGGCTCAGATGGTTAAGCGTCTGCCTTCGGCTCAGGTCATGATCCCAGAGTCCTGGGATCGAGCCCCGCATCGGGTTCCCTGCTCAGCGGGGAGCCTGCTTCTCCTTCTGCCTCTCTCTGTCTCTTATGAATAAATAAATAAAATCTTTAAAAAATAAAAATATAAATAAATAAATAAATAAAATCTTTTTTTAAAGAAGTTGAAAAGGTGGGGGGTGGAGAGGAATCACAAGGGGTTGTTTCCCACCTGTTAGACTGACAAAGCTGAAAAGTGTAAGACTTCAGTTTATTCTCAGGGGTCTGCACTGATTCTCATTGCTGCCGTCAGGGGTGGAAATGGCCAAGCCTACAGAGGGAATCAGGCAGAAGCTGAAGACAATGCCCTGGGACCCAGCAAGGCTCCTTCCAGCAAATCAACCTCCCAGGAGTGATACCTACTCTACAGGGCTGTGGATTCATCATGGCATTCTCTGTAACAGCAACCAGACTCAAATGACCCAAATGCCCAGGCACAGGGAATTTGCTGTACAAACTCTGGCCATTCTCAGCACTGCAGAAGAACAGGGCAGCGAAATGCTGACAATGTGGGAAGACCTCCAGGATACTTGGTGAAGGAAAGAGCAAGGTGCACACCTGCCTGGGCAGGAAGCTTTGCTTTGTGTAGAAAGAGATGATGACGATGCGGAGACCCTTTGCAGGGAAACATAAACATAATTACATAACTTGTTCCTGTGGTGGCCACCTGGGAGCCATGGTAGGCAAAAGAGAGAGATAGTTGTCATTTACATTTTCATGCCTGTTGAACTTTGTATTTGTAATAGTGTTGAAAGGTAAGTGTTTAATCAAAAAAGGGAACATATGTAAGCATATGGGATAGGAGAGGAAATAGGAATGAGGAGAGCTGCTGTTCAGAAGTTGACTGTGAACCAAAGCAATCATATTGATCATGAGAAGAGCAAACACATCAAGTGCTCACAAGTGCACTATGGCTTTGCACACAGAGCAATCCATTTAATCCCTGTACCCACCCCAGAGGCGTGGATTGTGAGCCCCCCCTGTGGGGGGGGGCGAGGGGGAAACAGGCTCAGGAGGGGCCACTGTTGGGAAAGAAGAGTCTCCAGCTTGGCTTGCTTCCCCTACTCACAATGCCCTAGGATCCTCCCCCAATTAGGCTGAGAAAAGGGAAATGGGGTCTGGCTCCTGGCTGGGGATGGGGGACGATAGTTGCATGGAGCCTACAGAGACCCCCCCCCTTCCTGTTTATTTTTCTCATATTCTGCTGTGGTGCCTATTCTTCTTATTTCTCTTGTTTTTGTCCATTTCTCCCAACAGTATGTCAGCTCTCACCAGGCTGGAATTCTTGGTTGTCCTGATCACTGCTGTGTGTCCCCAATGCCTGGCACATGGAGGTACTCGAATGAACGAATGAATGATTGGAATGAATGAATGAATGATCGAATTCAGAGGAAGAGCCTTAGGCGATTTGGGAGCAGGAACAATTAGGGGCAGGAGAGGAGGGGCAGGAGGCCAGGGCCGGGGACATGTGGCATCTGGAGTCCAGGGCAGTGAGTGTCTTGGGGGCGTTTGCAGGATGAAGGGACAGGAGCAGAATCTTGGGCCAGTGCATGGAGCCCTGGAAAGATGGAGGTGATGGTAGCCCAGATGGGGAAGGCGGGGCAGCTCAGGCCATGACCGCCAGGGTGGTGATCCAAGCTGGGGTGAGGCCGGGTGTGGCCCAGGAGCCTGGATTAAGAAAGGGCACCTTCAAGGTCCAACGGAAGAAGAAAGACTGGGAGAACAGGGGAGCCCAGGGGTGGCCGGCCTGATTGAATGACCATGAGTGAGAGGGCCTAGCCCAGATCAGTTGACCCAGCTGGGCTCCCTGCTTGGCTGGAGGCCGGGCGGAGGCAGCCAGGAGCAGAGCATCTGGGAGGGAGGGTCAGGGGCGTGGCAGGGGCCAGGGCAGCACTCACCAAGCAGAGCCAAAAAGGGGGGGAAAAGTTTCTTAACAATCTTTAGACAACACCCCCCCCCCTCTCGCCCCCGGATTCCTCTTTCGGCTCCAGCTGAGGGTGTCACCCTGACCCAGGCCTTGGAGATACAAGCGCCTGGCTCCAAGGCTGGAGCTGAGCCTGGGGCCCTTCCTTCCCTCTCCCTACCCCTCCCTTCTCCCTTCTCCTCACCTGCCCTCCCTGCTCCCCCTCCTCTGGCCCCTCTCTGGCCCTCCCAGACTCGATTTGTGCAGCGGGCCTGCTCTCGTTTTCCAGTACCTCTTTCTACTCTCCCACTCCCTGACTGCAGCCTGGGGAAACTGAGGCCTAGCTAGAACAGTTCAAGCACACTGGAGCGCTACAGCCCCAGGGCTAGGGCCCCTGCCTCCCCCAGTCCAAACATTATACGCCATTTAAATCTCATAACTCCAGGAGCTGGGGACTTATTAGCCTCATCTGACAGTTGGGGAAACTGAGGCCCAAAGAGATGATGCGCCTGGGAACTATTTGTGGGTTATGAACTTGTGCCTTCCCCACCCACACTAGTGTGCAGGCTCTTGGCCTCAGCCCGGCCTTCTGCCACCTGGTGGACACTCGCGGCAGTGTCGTTCGGAGGGAGTCGCCTATTGCCTGTGGTCCTGAGCAGGGAAGGGAGTCCAGGGCCGGGAGGAGGCAGGCCTCGTCCCCTGACTACACTCCATCCCTCATCCTCCTCTCCAACCAATTTTCCGATTTTTCAAGAAGGCACTGACTAACTCATTTCCTGCCCATGTGCGAAAAGACCCTAGATGTTAATTCTAACACTCATGAAAAATGAAAGACCACAAAGATAATTCTGTAATTATAAAAGGTGTCACAAGGATGCCTGGGTGGCTCAGTCATTAAGTGTCTGCCTTGGTCATGATCCCTGCTCCGCAGGAAGCCTGCTTCTCCCTCTCCCACTTCCCCTCCTTGTGTTCCCTCTCTCGCTGTGTGTCTCTCTGTCAAATAAATAAATAAAATCTTAAAAAAAAAAAAAAGGCAGCACAAATGCATTTTTTGGTCTCTTAACTGTTTTAAGAAGCAATTGTATGAAAATATATATAAATTACAAAGGAAGTGAGCAAAGTATAGGAATAAGGAAATGACACCAGGTAGTAACACTAATCCACAAAAACAAGTGAAGAGAACTAGAAGTGCAAATGGATAAAATTAATATAACAAACTTTATGAATACATAGTTGCCCTCCTCTATTTTCTCACATTCTTTAACAGCTCTACAATTTTAAGTAACAATTGCCAACAATGTATTGTTAGGTTTGCAACATATATAGATGTAATATGTATAACAATAATAGCACAATAATAACAATGAGACAAAAGGGGGCAGAAGAAATGAATTATATAGGAGTAACATTTCTAAATCTCATTAAAATTAAGGCAGCATAAATTTGAAGGAGATTCTAAATTAAGATGTGTGTGTTAAGCCCTAGAGCAACCACTAAAGAAATAACTTAAAAAATATAGTAGGGTCCCGGGACCTGGCGGGCTCATGGGTGGGGCATGAGACTCTTGATCTCGGGGTTGTGAGTTCAAACCCTATCTTGGGTGTCAAGATTACTTAAAAAAATAAATCTTAAAAGAAAAAATATTAAATATATATAGAAAAAATCATTAAAAGAATTAAAATATTACACTAGAAAATAGTCACTTCATGGAATATAAAGCAGTAAGGAAATAAACAAATTCTACCCGCGAGCATCCCCTGGAAGTGCAACGCTCAAACTACCACCCAGACCTCCCGGGGTGCCTACAACTCCCGGCGTGCCGCGCACGACGCTCCCTTACGCCCATGGTGGAAAGGGAGGGGCTAGTGGAGCTCCCTTTTGTGAGTTGTAGTCTCGCTGCCGAGGAAGGAAGGACTGTGAAAGGTTGGTGGACCTAGAGCCAATGAAAAGGCAAATCTTGTTGAGCGTCGGAAAGAGAAGCCAATGGGCATGCTGCCTCCAGGAGGCGGGACTTCCGGCAACGAAGTCTTGGTGAGCGGCTGCGCGAGAGCGGCCACTTCCTTTTTTGTGTGGCGGCGAGAGCGGAGAGTGCGCCATGAAGGCTTCGGGAACAGTAAGGCGAGCGCGGCGGGGCACGGGGCCGGGGAGTGCAGTGCAGATCGAATCGGGGGCCCCGGCAGGTGGCATGGGCCGCGTAGCAGGAGCGCGCTCTTGGCTGGGTCCCGCGCCGCCGCGCGCCATCGCCCCCAGGTGCAGCCAACATGGCGGCCATTGCGGGCGCCGCGTGGGGAGTCTGGTGCCATGGTCCCGGCCTGCCGGGAAATCGCGGGGGCCGGAGAGGCCGGGTCTCCTTTCCAGGGGAAGGGACAAGTTGCGCGGCTTGGACGTTCCGAACAACGGGACTTTGTCGATTTTCCAAGTCTCGGTTTCCCCATTTGCAAAGTGGACGTGGTGGGAGGAAACGTTAATATTTCTTCCCGGCGGGGTTGTGAGAAGTAGAAGAAAACCGTAAACCCGAGCTGACACGGGGAACTTTATCGCTGTGACTAGTGCTTGGTAAAATCAGAGGGCGCTGTGGCGCAGAGATGGAAGAGCAAGCCCTCGGGAGAAACAGGGTGGGTCCTGTATAGCTCCCCAGCCTCAGTTTCCACGCTAGGAAAGGGGCCAGCTGCATCGGTCCCCTCCTGAACAGGTGGTCCGCGGGGCTGATTAGTCACATGGAGAGGTGGGAGCAGGAGACAAGTTTGCGATATTTGGGGCTATCTCCTCATATTACTAAAATCATGGCGAGTCATTTACGAGGGCGGGTTCTTTGTACTATATTGCAGTGTTTGGGCCTGCCTGACATCTTTGTTTTTGCATCTGTGTAAACAGGTAGAGTCCACTGGGAAGTCCAAACCCCTTTGGGCTGCTGCTGGGAATACTGAAGCAGCTGCAGGTCCCATGGCAGCAGGGCTGGGGAGGGAACTGGATTCTTGTTCTCGTTCTGCCTGGGGTGGGCTGTGAGATCCCAGGCTGGTTACTGTCTTAGGGCCCCAGAGTGAAAGAGGACTTTGGGAAGATGTGAGCTGCAAAGTGGCTGTGGAGGAAGAAGCCTGCAGGTTTAGGCTTCGGCTTTTTTCACAGGAATATAAACAGAAAGAGAAGGACAGCGAGATTGACAGCCCTGCCCAGCTTTCCCGAGCCAAGGCAAAGGGTACCCAGGCATCTTAATCCTCCCACCCTCGATCCTTGTTCTGGGAAGGCTGGGACAGTGCAGTCACCGGGATTCCACATGGATGCCCTGTGATGGGACAGTCTATTTTCGCTCTCCTGATTCCAGTTATCACCAGGCTCGAGAAAGGGAGTAAGGTGAATCTTCACAGTTGCCTCAGGGCTCTGGGTTGGGCCCCACTTCACCCCTGTTTCTGTTTCAGCTGCGAGAGTACAAGGTAGTGGGGCGCTGCCTGCCCACCCCCAAATGTCGCACTCCGCCCCTGTATCGCATGCGAATCTTTGCACCTAATCACGTCGTCGCCAAGTCCCGCTTCTGGTACTTTGTGTCTCAGCTGAAAAAGATGAAGAAGTCTTCGGGGGAAATTGTTTACTGTGGGCAGGTACGGGGAGTCTGAGAACAGGGTGGGGTCTGGAGTGGATTTACACCTTCCTGTGGGGGCATTCCTCACCCCACAGAGTTCCCGGACTTCATAACCCCTGGCTTATTCGCCTGTGTAATTAAGCCCTAGGTTGGGATGGGATGGATACCTCAGTGCCCTTTTCCTGATGAGAGAGCCCAGGGCCCAGGAAGTGTGTGGCTGGCATGCTTGGACACCTTGGCTGAGGCCAGCACCTTGGCTGAGGCCAGCACCTTCGCCGGGCCTCGTGTGAAGTGGGGAGAGGTGCTGTCACCTGGGCACGTTTGCTGTGATGGGCGCTGGGCTCTGCATCATACTGCTGCACTGGGTGGCAGCTGCTTTGGGGCCCAGATAGTCTTGGGAGAGTAGTGTTTGGGAGGAGTTGAGCTGGTGGTCCACATGGGGCAAGTGTGCCGGCCTGGACAGCTGTGTACGCCCTACTGTTGCCGTGGGAATTTGTCCAGGACAGCAGATTGCCTTCCTGCGCTCTCAGATTTGAGGACTGGGAAACAGGCGCAAGAGAGGCCTGGGGCAGAGGATCAGCAAGGGTCGGAGCCGGGTCGAAGCCTGCTCAGCACCCTTGCTTCAGCCAGTGTCTTTGGCATCTAGGTGTTCGAGAAATCCCCCTTGCGGGTGAAGAACTTCGGCATCTGGCTGCGCTATGACTCACGCAGCGGCACCCACAACATGTACCGGGAGTACCGGGACCTGACCACGGCGGGCGCCGTCACCCAGTGCTGTAAGGCGCCGGGTCCTGCGCCCAGTGCCCCACTTAGATTCCTGTTGCAGGCATCTGCAGCCCAGTCGGCCTGCGCCCCTCTCTCCCCGCAGACTGAGGCAGGGCAAATGCCAGAGGCTTCTGGGATTAGGGGGGTGGGGAGTCCAGGGGTGCTCGTGGGGGACACAGAAGAGGTGTTTGCATAGGGGCGGTTGTGGAGAGGATGCTCCAGGTGCATCTTTTTCTGGAACCTGGCAGCAGGTGGACCTTTGGGGTCCATCACTCGTGCAGCTGTAATTCCCACCCAGAGTCTAGCCCAGGCCTTGTCTGTGGGGATCTGGTGCTAGTAACCCCAGGTGCTCCTAGGGCGAGTGACCTGCCAGGGCCCAAACCCAAGCACCTCAACCCAAGAACTGCTGCTTCTCATAGCAGCGGTTTAAACAGAGGTGCTAACAGCAAGTGGATCTCGTCGCCTTTGGGGGGCTGTGGCTGTGCCCCTCAAAGTGAATTTGGAGGTTCTACATGCCTGATAAGCCAGTGCCTGCTGGGGCCAGAGACTATGGCCACCCAGTTCCCAAGTTGGGGTTCCTCTAGACCAGCACTTGATGGGAGGTTTGAGGAATGCCCAGACCCCGGGGTGCACATTCGCCCTACCTCCTTCCCTGCAGACAGAGACATGGGCGCCCGACACCGTGCCCGGGCCCACTCGATCCAGATCATGAAGGTGGAGGAGATTGCAGCCAGCAAGTGCCGCCGACCAGCCGTCAAGCAGTTCCACGTGAGTGCCCTGGGGGCCCTGCTGGGTGGGCTTGGCAGAGGGGGGCTCCCCTGGAACATGGAGCTGGCCCAGCTGCTCCTCTATCCCCCAGCCTTGGGAGCTACAGGGAGGCACTGGGTTTGACGCAGGAGCCTGGTGGGGGGTGGCCACACCTCAGTGGCCCCTGGAAGACAAGGTTGAGAGGCTTCCACCCCCCTCACCCACCTGTCCTTATTGCAGGACTCCAAGATCAAGTTCCCGCTGCCCCACCGGGTCCTGCGTCGCCAGCACAAGCCACGCTTCACCACCAAGAGGCCCAACACCTTCTTTTAGATGCAGAGCCTCCCTGTCTCCAGGTCTGCTCAAATAAACTCTTTGGGAAAACCAAGGTGCTCAGACACTCTTGTTTTCTTTGTATGCCCTGAAGAACTCAAAAGGGCACAGCCAAGCTGTGAGTTCTCTGCTTGGGGAGGGGTCCTCCTCTCTCGAAGTGGGGCCCAGGCACCTGATTTCTCCAGAAGGGGAGCCCCAAGAATGGCAAAGCCCACACCCCCAAGCTCCCTCCTGCCCACTTAGCTCCCCAGGGCTTCATCCAGCAAGGGGCTGTCACGGGCAGGGTCTTAGAGCCAGAAGGCCTGGTTTTCAGCCCCATCAGGTGGCCCTCCCCTGTGAGCTTTGGGATGCCTTGCAGGCCACAAGGTTTGGCCCCTAAACCTATCCCATCTTCCATGTTAGACACAGGCCTCAGCTTTCCCGCCCCCAGCCGCCACGGTTTGGGTAAGATGTGGCCATCAGATGTCAGATGCCTAGAAGAAGTCAGGATGATGGGGTTGGTTTTGGTCCACCTGTGGGATTTCCCCTCTTCCCTCCAGGCTCAGAACCTGTCTTTGGTTCCAGGATCCTCAGAGCAGACACCAGGGGACGCCGGAGAGGGCCATGAGCATGCTCTGCTGTGGTGGTTCCTCCTTTACTAGGTGGGGGCCCCTTGAAGGACTCCCTGATCCTGCCCCAGAAAGTCAAGGGCTCACCATGGGTATCTGTCTCCAGGAAACCACTTGAGGCCCTGGAGAGTTCCAGGCATGAAGCTAACCCCACGCTGGCTGAGCCCCTCAATCAGGAGGCTGAAGCACAGCTAGGAGGGCAGATCTTGGGAAGCGTCTGTCCTTGGTGTGTGACCTTGGCAGCTCTGGCCCACTGAGTGAGTCCTCATCAGAAAGGGCACTCGGCAGATTTACTCAGTTGACGATACTTGGAGTGTGACAACTATAGGCCCTGGGGGCAAAGGTCAATCAAGATCTGCCTTCTATTCCAGAGAGCCATGGAATGGGAAGAAACCCAGGGAGCAAGAAGGCAGCGTGGAGTGGGGGTCTGGGGAGCAGTCAGGCCTGGAGTGTCCCAGGCCAGGGTCCAGCCTCTCTTCCCCCACTTGAGGTGGGGGTGGCTCATTGGCATGATCAGTCCCGGTGGTTTCCAGAAAACCAGATCACTTCAGACCCCACCTATGTTTGGAGAGGTGCCCGAGGCAGAGCTGGGGCACAGCCAGCCGCTTCCCCAGAAAGTCCCGAGGACAGGGTACCTGGCTTCCTGGACCTGCATTGGCTGCTTTGCCCACTGCTCTGAAACAGTTCCTTCCCACCTCCACGCCTTTGCACTTGCTGAGCCTCCTGACTGGACTGTTCCGTTCCAGATCATCACTGGTTTCGCCTCCCTGAAGAATACACACGTGTATTCCAGTGACAGTGGCTTTTCTGTGTCCCTGCTTGGCCCCGGTTCAAGAAGTCAGACCCAGAAAAGGGTAGGGACAGGCTTTGAATATCCTTCCCTTTGTTCGTCCACATGGCGGAAGGACAGTGATAATCTCCTGGGTCTGGCATTCCTAGACCCAGGTTTTTTATTTTTGACCCTGCCAAGATCCCTACCACCACCCCGCAGGCATACCAATTTACTCTCCCAATAGCATTTAATAAGAAGCAAACTTCGATGGCTGAAAAAAAAAATCCCATCTTGGGGATTTATATTTGCCTTTTCTTCTTAGGAAGCAGGCACTTCTCTCAATTTGTTTGGCCTTGGCTCCTTTATGGGGTTGCTGGTCATTTTTAACTTACTGTTTTGTAAAAGCTCCTTTCATGGGCGCCTGGGTGGCTCAGTCGGTTAAGCGACTGCCTTCGGCTCAGGTCATGATCCTGGAGTCCCGGGATCGAGTCCCCCATCGGGCTCCCTGCTCGGCAGGGAGTCTGCTTCTCCCTCTGACCCTCCTCCCTCATGCTCTCTGTATCTCATTTTCTCTGTCTCAAATAAATAAATAAAATCTTTAAAAAAAAAAAACAACCTTTCATATGTGGTGCAAAAACGTGGAAAAAAAAAATACATGTTTTCCCCCAAATATGGTGCAAATTCTTTCTTCCAGGGCACTTGATGTTTTTTAAGGTATATTTTGGGGCCAGGCTAGAATTTTTGAATTTTTTGCCTTGTTGGTATTAATCTTTTATGGCTTAAGGCAGAAACCTCTAGTTGCCCCCAAATACTCCTTCCTCGGTAACAGGATGTCCATATCTAGATGCCACCCACGAAAATACATTTCCCAGCCTTCTTTGCATTTAGGGGTAACCATGTGATATTAGCAGTAGCAATGTGTGCCATTTCCAGGAAATACTCATCTGGCTGGAATATAGGCACAATGTCTGGTGCTCCAGCAGCCATCTTTGGCCATTAAGAAGCCACACTGGAGCAGCAAGGTAGAAGGACTTTGAGTATCTGACCCTGTGTCTGTGTGATGAGAAAAGGGGAGAAGGAAACACCAGTCCTGCTTCGGCTGTAATCTGGAGGCTCTCCTTCGTCACTCGTGACTTGGCCCTGAGGTGGGCCCTAATGGTTGTGCCTGGGGCAGGTCACTACCCACTCAGCTTTAGTTTCTTCCTGTGTAAGGCGGGGTTGGTTCTGGGTGTGGGAAGACTTAAGATGAACTAGAGATAGGATATGTCACCAGGAAAGTGGAAGGTCCCGGCCCCACAAAGGCCCACTGTGCACCCCCATCCCCACCTTGGGTCTTCATCAAGGCTTCATCCATGTTACAGCCTGGGAACCAGGTGGGAGGGCTCTGCCCCAACCAGCCAAAGGGTGGGTTCAGTCCCTTATTGAGGCACCTTTGAACTGAAGATGAGTGAGCGCCAGCTCCCTAACATATCTAGTCATCCACCCACCCCGCCCACGGACCCCTCTACCATGTAACCATCCACCTGGGCATCTCCCCCTCTCCCCCCCACCAAACCCTGCACAGAGCAGTTGCCAGGACACTGGCTGGAGATGGGGACTGCTGAACTGAGCTCTCTGCAGAGATCGTTGAGGTGCGTGAACCAAGCAGAAGAAGAACAAAAACCCGAGATAAGATAATGAGGCCTTTGGTGTGAGGCCCACAAGGCCCCTGCCTCCGGGATCGCTGACACCCCTCTGGTTGGCTGGGTGCTCCCAGGCCCTGTCCCTGTGTTTGTTCAGGTGCCATTCCTGGCAGGACTGGGAGCCCTGGGGGAGAGATCACAAGCTGCCCCTCCCTGTACCCCAGGGGCTCCTGAGTCAGGACTATCTGGCAAGGGCAGGCAGGCACTAAGGCAAGACAAGACAGGCAGGGGCCCCAGAAGACCTGACCTGGATCCTAAAACCAGGAGAGACTACCTGAGAATCATGGAATCCTAGAATCACTGTTGGGATCCTCAGGACTTAAGAATGGTGGACTCTCACAGGAAGCTACAGCACCATTAGTAAGAATGGTTTGCTTTTGGGGCACCCGGGTGGCTCAGTGGGTTAAGCATCTGCCTTCAGCTCAGGTAATGATCCCAGGGTCCTGGGATCGAGCCCCGCATCGGGCTCCCTGCTCCGCGGGAAGCCTGCTTCTCCCTCTTCCACTCCCCCAGCTTGTGTTCCCTCTCTCGCTGTGTCTCTCTGTCAAATAAATAAAATGTTAAAAAAAAAAAAAAAAAAGTGGTTTGCTTTTACTGAGTGCAAGGGAGAAGTTCAAGACCAGACACCCAGAAGGTCATGCTGGAGCCAGAGTAGCTCACAGCCTCTCACCCCGACCCCTGCCATGTCTCCAGGAAGCCATGAGAGCCCTGGGGGTGCCCGGGCAGCAGGCAGGGGTGCGCACAGCCAATAGCCATGCAACACCCTGACGTTCCTGCCCTGGGTGCTCAGACTGCAGCTGCGGGCCCGTCAGGGAGCCCCCTGCCCCTCCCCCTTCACCAACGGGGTCCTGCCTGCCCTCTGCCCATATGGGAACTGTACAGTCGGGGAAGGTGCCACTGCATCTCCCCAACCCACTTCCTGTACCCCTCCAACCCCAGAGAAGAGGGTCCCACCCACCCCTCAGGGTTCCCAACTCTGGGCCTCCTGTCAAATCCTGGAATTCCAGAACACGTTCTGAATCCATTCCCACCCCACGGTCGCTGCCATGGACATGGCGGGCTTTTCAGAGTCTATAAATCTCATTAAGTCCCTCTGGCTCCAAACTCTTCAGTGGCCCCCCAGCGCCCTCAGAATAAAATCCACACCCTTGGCCAAGGCTCAAGGTCCCTTGTGGCCTTCGCTGTCCTCACTCACTCTGCTCACTCCACTTGACCTCAGGGCCTTTGCACTGGCTGTTCCCCCTGCATCTCTCCAAGCTTGGCTCAACCTCTGCCTGCCAGGTCTGCACTCACCTCCTCCAAGAGTTCCCCTCCCAGAGGCCCACATAAAGTCGTCCGCCAGGCCAGCTCCCTCTCTGACTTTGCTTCACTCCTCAACCATCAGCTTCGGAAATGTGTGTTCACCTCCTGGCTCGGTCATTGTCAAGTGCCTGTGATCCTGCTGTGTCCCCAGCAGCAGGTGCATGGTCCTGCACACAGTAGGTGCTCAATGATCGGGCCTCAGCCCAAGCGTCAGTCTGTAGCCTCCCACCTCACAGAGGAAGAGACAGGCTGGCAGTGGGGATGGTAGCCACTCCCAGAACCTCCCTGGGGAGGGAGGACCGGGTTGTGCGCACTGCAACAATTTGCATATATTTGCATTCGCTTGCGTGGCTTTTCGGGAAGGGAATCCCCTCCAGGATTTATCCTTTCCCACCAGATTCTCCAGATGGGTGCAGCGCATACGGGCCTGGAAAAAAATGAAGGCGGGGGAAGGAAAAGGAACTCAGTGCCCTCTCCGCACCCTCCTGGCCGGGGTGGCGGAGTGCATATTGGCGGGCAACGGCGGGTGTCAGCCGCCCTATCGCAGTCCCGGGGTGGGGGGAGTGCAGGCCGGCCGCGCCCAGCGCGCGGAGAGCGAGAGCCGGGGGTGGGGTTGGGAGGGGGCACGAAGGGATGCTTGGGAGATGCTGGACCAAACTGGAGTGTCGCGTGTTGGCCGGAGACCACCAGG